TTTATATTTATCGAATTAATTAAAATAGTAAAAATCTACTACTTAAAGTAGTAGTTTTAATTACAGACGACTTGTTAATTCTACAACAAGAATTTTATTGAAGCCTATAAAATCATAGAAATTAATAAAAAATTTACTACTCAAAAAGCAGTTATATTAATTAAAGAAAATAATTTACCTTAATAATTGTTATAAACAATTTTTCTAAACAATTACACTTTGCAGGAAGATACATCTAAAAAAAATTTGTTTTTTTCATAAATTTGCTTTGGATTATTGCGATTAAACTTTTTTTTCATTAAACCAATATTTTTTGATAATTTATCTTAATTGTTTAAACAATTTTAATAAACAATTACACTGTACGGACATTTTTCGGCACAAATGAATTGAATTTTTTACAATTATTGTTTAGTCTAAGCCGCCCAGAGATTTTCTTTGGGAAAAAGTCATTTTGCAACTAACTTTCTTATTTTTATAAACAAATTATATAAACAATTATATTTTTCAAATGGTCTCTTTATAAATTAAAATTTGAAAGCATCTTTACTTTAATTTTTAGTGTAAAAATATGATACTCTTCTTAGAATAAAGCTTAAACATTCTTGTTTTAAAAAGATAGTTTTGGTTTTTTTAAGAAAGTAAAGAAGTACGAGCAAAGTAAAACGAAGGAACTGATTTAATCAGTTAGTAACAATTCCAGAGCTGCCAAGTCAAGATTACGGTCAATATGTTTCCAGTGTTGTCTGAAATGAGATAAATAAGGATCAGAAGAAAGCAGCAGTTTATGAATTAAGTCGGTATTCGTAACAAGACGATTACATTTTCGTGTATTGAATTCACGAAACCGCTTAAAATCTTTATTTCTCGCCTCCTGAGCTTCTTCTGATAGTAAACCTATTGGAATAAGAAATCTTCACTTCCAAAATTATGCTGTAACGAGTTATTAAATTAACATTAACACCTGTAATATCAGATGATAATTCAGGATCGCTGAAAAATCTCCGTGTCGTGTTTCCATCATCTGAATTCTCTGCTCCGCAGGTTTTGGAACGTCTATAATCAGACCCATTTCTTTACGGCATCTTTCCTGCACCCTCAACTTCGCAGCTTTTGACATTTCTTTTTCTTTGTCGGATTTGATTTGCCATTTACAAAATCCTTTCGATAAGAAATGTTCAGTACATTTCTCATAAACACTAGTTTAGCATGCAAAGTTGACATTCCGTATTCACAGTTTTCTTCAATAACTGGTTTTAGCCCAACATTTTTCAAGTCGTTCATCTCTGAAGGATTTGCTTTCCAAAGGTAACAAGTTGCTGCACTTGGTGATTCAGTGAGATTCTGAGCTACTTTTCCATCTATCATGGTTAACAACATTTTGTGATTTACTTGACATCTAAATTTGCCAAATGATACATGAGTAGACCTAAGACAACTTATTTCCATTTTTAATTGTTCTACAACAGATCGTGTTAGTGTAGGAGTTTCTTTTGTGTACTGAATTGATAAAGGAATGCACAATTTTGTAGATCCAGAGTGTGGATTTTTCCAGATTTCTTTTGACTCTGATTCTAGCAGAATAGGAACCATTGAAGCCATGAAAATACTTTGATCAGATATCATGTCTTCTGAAAGTTTTTGTTTGTAGGAACTTTAGCCTGATGCTCCATCACAACCATATTTTAAAACAAGTGTCATGGAATGAAAATTTTGTTCTATAATCATTGTTTGAATATCAGGAATTAATAACAAACGTTGTACTGTATGGTCAAGAAGTGCCTGCAAATTAATTTTAGCACTTTTCTCCGTAATTGTTATAGCTTCAGGAGGAGGATAGCATCTTTTCTTTGCTTATGTCAAATTTTTGTACGGTATATATATACATATATATATATATATATATATATATATATGCCCTGGCGGATTCGATTTGCGTAATGTCTACTTAACTAAGTGGACTTTAGGTAGACATTAGGTAAACATGTAAAAAAACGTATAGAAAAGCTATTAATCAACTTATTATGATAAAAAAAGTTGATAAAAGGGTAAATGAATGTTTATAGAGTAAATTCGTACAAAATTTGTAATTAATAAAGCATTAAATAATTAATAATGAATGGAAATGTGCGCGAGGTACCTGATCAGTTCAGCTGTACAATTATTTTCGTGCTATTTTCATGAAAAGAATATAAATTAACGGCAAAAAAAATTGATATTTTTAAAAAAGTGTAAAATTGATTTAATTTGAGTGTTTGCAATACGAATTATTAAATAATAATTAAGTTTTTATCAAATGTGAATAGTGTTGTGAAAACCTGTGAAAACTAATGAGTTACTACATTACCGATCGCATATGATAATAAAAAGTTCTCGATGAGTGTAACAAAAAAGCTCCAATTTAACCAAGTACATAATTTCCGAGATTGACAGAGATGGCGCCACCAGTTTTTACAATACAGTGCGAGCATGTTTTCTTCCAAGCTTTTGCTTTGAAAGAAAATAAAAAGTGAATTTTAAAATGCAGAATAAAGTTATACAAATAATTATTGATTTCATAATTGTTTCTCGTTCAAAATTACGGACATGATTGGAGCTTTTTTGTTACACTCATCGAGAACTTTTTATTATCATATGCGATCGGTAATGTAGTAACTCATTAGTTTTCACAGGTTTTCACAACACTATTCACATTTGATAAAAACTTAATTATTATTTAATAATTCGTATTGCAAACACTCAAATTAAATCAATTTTACACTTTTTTAAAAATATCAATTTTTTTTGCCGTTAATTTATATTCTTTTCATGAAAATAGCACGAAAATAATTGTACAGCTGAACTGATCAGGTACCTCGCGCACATTTCCATTCATTATTAATTATTTAATGCTTTATTAATTACAAATTTTGTACGAATGTACTCTATAAACATTCATTTACCCTTTTATCAACTTTTTTTTATCATAATAAGTCGATTAATAGCTTTTCTATACGTTTTTTTACATGTTTACCTAATGTCTACCTAAAGTCCACTTAGTTAAGTAGACATTACGCAAATCGAATCCGCCAGGGTGTATATCAGCATTTTTTTGTTTTGCTTGTGAGCGAAGAATCTCATACTGATATTTAAAAATTTTTCCATTTTCAATCATTGCAAGTGTCTCATCTTCAGAATACCGAATAACATTATCTTGATCTTCTTGTTTTTCTGAATTATTTAACAGTTCCCTTATTTCAGTCGATAATTTTTTTGTCCTAAAACTTTTAAGTTATAAAGAAAAGCCTCCTGAATTTCTATTTGAGAATAAAGGTCACAAATATCTTGCACCTTTCTTCTTTTTGTCGATTTTGAACAACTTTCAAATTCTTTCTTATTTTTTCCAGAAGTTTTGCTGCGAGTGCTTTAATTGAATTCAAAGTCAGTCAAAAGCCATTCCACATGCTTATTTTGAAAGATGTCATTTAGATAAAACGATGATTTCCAATTTTTTTAAGTTGGAATGAAGTACCGCAAAAGCTTGGTCTTAAAAAACTTAAAAACAGAAGAAAACTTAAATCTAAATGTAAACGAAACGAAAAAACTAAACCTAACTGAGAAGAAAAAACCAAAATAAAAGCAAAAAAAAACCTCTTATATCTAAGACAAAAAATTAAACATAAATACAAATTGTTCTACACAATAAAATTCAGTAGCATCAAAATTAACAAAATTCAACTAAACTCCAAAAATTAAAAATACCCACCTTGAAAGCTATAAATCCTAAAAAGTGTTTACTGCTCGAGTAACTACGATGAAATGAAGAAACGTTCAACTATTTCTAACCTCGACGTACACTGCGCATGCGTAAAATGTTTAGAATTTCATTTGTTTCTGACGTTCACTTGTTTTAGACTTTGACTAAAATTTTTTAAGTAATATGAAAAAACATTCATTCGACGTAATCAAAGCATGAATAATATGGAAAATGCGAGTAATTTTTGTCCAATAATGTTTATAAAACTTAATTGTTTTCAAATAATTAATCTATAAAATTGGTAATTTAATTGAAAAAGAAGATTTCTGTCGAAAAAATTCTAGCACTCTTCATTTAAAAACGTGTAAAAATATCTATCCTTTTTTACCCATATTTATATATATATATAGATTAAGTTCTATAATTAAGCTTTATTCCGGTTTATTTATTATTATTATTTATTATTATTATTATAAAAAGCCTTCAAGATAAATATATTTTTTACCAGAATGAAGCAGAATTGCAGAATTTAATCTTAATTTATAAAGAGACCATTTCATTTTGCCCAAAAATGTTTGAAAAATATAATTGTTTATAAAAATAAGAAAGTTAATTGCAAAATGACTTTTTCCCAAAGAAAATCTCTGGGCGGCTTAGACTAAACAATAATTGTAAAAAATTCGATTCATTTGTGCTGAAAAATGGCCGTACAGTGTAATTGTTTATTCAAATTTTTTAAACAATTAAGATAAATTATCAAAAAATATTGATTTAATGAAAAAAAAGTTTAATCGCAATAATCCAAAGCAAATTTATGAAAATAACAAATTTTTTTTAGATGTAACTTCCCGCAAAGTGTAATTGTTTATAACAATTATTAAGGTCATATAATTTTTTTTTACTATTTACACACCCTCAGGCATTAAATGTATGCAATATGAAGTGTGCAAAAAATTTTTTGTGCAAATTTGATCGAAAACTTGAAAAAATGACTTTTTTACACTTTGCATTAACATTAAAAATTTATAAAATAAAAAATCGACTCTCACAGATTTCTTAAGAATTTAGTTCTGAGTAAGAGAAAAAAAAATTTTTGAATTTGGTTCATAATTGTAGTCTAAAAGTTAATTTGAACCAAATTTTGTCATTTTGCCCCACTGTGTGATGAGAATGTAAAAAACTTACGTGATGAAAAAGGATAAATAAATTTTAAAATTTTGGAAAATTGTAATAAAATTAATTTTAAGTACTTTTTCTATTTAAGCCCCTGTACCAGATGAGCTACCAAATGGAAACGGTAAGTAAATGCTATAATGATAATTTTAAATTAACAATAGTTAATTATAGTTATATAGTTAGTGATACAGCTTTCTTATTGTGGGTAGTTTTTGCTGATTTTACAAATATTTAGAAGCGTGATAAGATAAATTACAAATTAAATAAGTAAATTACGAAAATAACTTAATATGTACAGCACCATGAAAACTAATACATAATGTATCACAGTCTTTGTTATACACGGAAAGAAATTTTCTGTAGAATTTACAGAAACTCCTGCGCCATCTACTGATGTTTCTCCAAATAGAGAAATTTGTAGAATCATTGGCATTAAAATCTGTTAATTCTACAAGTTTGAGCTACAGTTCTTAAAAACTGTTGAGTGATATTTTAATACATTAAATTCGCGGAACATTATTGTATAAATTAGTATAACTTCTATGTAAATAAATTCATCCTTCAATAATTTTCTAACAAAAAAAATGAGGAGCAAGTTTTCAAAACTTATGATAAATCCACTTTTTCTTATGTCGAGAAATTGAAACAAACGACTTTTCTCACTTAATCACTACAGTTAATTTTAAAATAAAAAATTTGTAATAATTTATTTCTATAATAATGTTTATATACTTAAGACGTTTCCTTTTTAATTAAACTTTCTTGCCGACACTATGATAATAATAAAAACACTAAATTCGCCTTAACCTCTCGCACTCAATCGTACTCAGCCTTAGTCGAATCACTGCATTGTTTTCGCGCATGCATTAAATCCTTACAGAAAATATCTGTAAAATTAACAGATTTAGGAACATGTAAAATCTCCAAATCGATGTTAAAGAATTACCAGAAAATTTTTTTCTGTGTACGTATTCTTATTATTTGATATCATTCCTAAAACGATAAATCTTCATTTTTATCCGAAATAGCAAATGATCCTACCGAATATACAATCAAAACAAAATGATATGTAATAAAATTCTTTAAAATGAAGATTATAACTATAATGATTTTTATGGAATAATCATGAGTGCTTTTGAGATTACTCATGTACCTTAAAAATTATAGAATTTTAATTTTTTTAAGGTCAAGGGATGGAAAATTTGCTACCTTTGGGACCCCTACCTCCACCACCTCCACCACCTCCACCACCTCATGAGAGTAAGTATAAATTGTATAAAAAACAATGTTATAATTAACACACATTATTTATTGCATTTGCGACTGAGCGTTTTTTTCCTATATGATGATGCTTTATTAACTTGAAAATATTTAAGGTCATGTAACTGCCCAGGTGGAAAAGTTCCCGGTAGTGACTACCAGTAGTGACTGATGTACAGGTAGCGGTACCGGTAGTTACTACCGAACTTTTCCACCTGGGTGTTAGGTCTGTAATGTTATAATTTGTCCGTAACTTTTCTCTTAAAATGCTGAATGGATTGAGCTGAAATTTTGTGGAGGAATTTAATTTATGATAAACAATGGTTGTGAAGTACAAAAATGTTGATATATTGTTGAATAAATATAATAAAAGGCATAAAAATCGTTAGAAAATTCAACACTCCTAACCCCACATTTTCTAACTATTTCAAGTGTTTTGTAATATAATTATTTAACAATATATCAACATTTTCGCACTTGACAACCATTCCTTATCATATTTGGAACTAGTCTATAAAATTTCAAATCAATCAATTATTCAGTATTTTACGAGAAAAGTTGTGGACAAATTAATATTACAGACGTCTAACAGTCACATAACCCGAATTCCATTCAGCTCTTATTTCTAAATAAAAAAATTGAAAAATATTAACCCCTTCGTTGGCAGAAGAAATTCGACAAAAAGTGTCCAAAATATACAGAAAAATTTTTTTCCTGAAAATTGGTATCCAGGGGTTTTCTGGGTCGCTGAAACTTTCTACAAGGAGGTTTTCGGGGTTGCTGATTACGAATTCGACTTTAGATTTTTAAAATTCAAATGTTAGATACAATATGGCGGACGTTTCTTTTTAAATTATTGTTTTTTCCTAAAAAATGGGTTCTCTTGGGATTTTTTGGAATCACTGATTACAAATCTATAGTCAGATTTGTAATCAGCGACCATAAAAACCTATGAGTACTAATTGAAGGGTAGAATGACAAAAGGGGTCAAACGCCAATTCACAGTTTTTACAGGAAGTAAAAAAAACATTTTTAAAAATTTTGCAGGTCATTTAAAAAAAAACTGAGAAAACCGTTTCGATATACTAGTATGTTTTAATAAATAAACAACAATTTGTTGAAATAAACCTACATATTAACGATAAAATTAAAAAAAACTGTGGTGCCTTGAGGTTATATCAACTGCGCACATTTTCTTTCAGCATTAATTATAAAAAAAATATACAGTTTAAAGAAAAACTGGAAAATTAGTTTCTTTCTATGGAATCGACGAAATGAATAGAAAAAAAATTCTATTAAAACAAGTTGAAAATTCAGATGTTCATTACATGAATATTTTGCTTCCTCTTTACGATCAGCAAAAAAATTTGCTTCCTCGTGGAGAAAGCAAAATTTTATTGCCAAAATGTGAATTTTTGATTTTCTAACTTCCATTAATTCTTTAAATTTACCTCAAATGTATACTTTATATATATACTAGCAAAATTACACGCGCGCAAGCGCGCGTCCAACTTTAATTGCAATGGTTATTTTAAAATAATAATAATATTAATAATAATAATAATAATAATTCTGCATCAGTGGAGTATTAAATTAATAATAGGTATATTTCTAATTTTCACGTTATCATTTATTTATACACAGAAAAAAATGAGTTTGATGTTATATAAATAAATAAATTTAAGTAAAAATTTTAAAATATAAATATTAAAATTATAGAAATAAATATTTTTGATAAACTCAATGTTCGATGAATTTTTTATAATCTTTCAAATTACAAAAAATTAGTTATGCTAAATATTTTTTTGTATTTTCTATAAATATTTCGTTGCAAATGAAAATTTTAAATTTATGTTTTTTTTTCAAAAAATTTAATTAACTGATAATTAATAAATATTAAAAAATTATGTAATCAAAAAGAAATTTAAATTAACAGAAAATTATTAATTATATTTTAAAAAGTATTAAGCAATTAAAAAATATTTAAAAATTTTGAAAAAATAAAACCTAAAAAAAATTTGTAATGTTTTAAACTTTAAACTTAAATTAAAAATTAAAATTAAATTGAAAATTTTTTAAAAAAGCAAACTATTTTTATATTGTTTATAGATAAAAAAATATAAAAATTTAATAATTAATAATAAAAATAAATTAATAATAATAAATTTATGAATAATAATATATAATAAATAATAATGAATAATGAAAAAATAATGAAAGAAATAATAATTATAAGTTAAAATGTTCTAATTATCTGTAATAATCATTATATTTAAAAAAATGTATATATAATATAATAAATTTATAAATGTGCGATTCCAAGTGAGATTTTGACTTTTTCGGAGTAGGTTAACCGATTGCAATGAAACTTTGGAATTTTGTTATATATAGTAAGACTAATCTTTAACGTAAATTTCAGCCTAAAATATTTGTTAGTTTACGAGATTTGCAATAATAACAAAAAATTTAAAACTGCTATATCTTCCGTTCTAATAAACGGATTGAGGTCTACTTTTTTTTAAAATGTCGAGGAAAATGAGAGGAATAAATCTCTTTCAGAACATTTTTTTATAATTTTACAACTAAAAAAATTATTAAATAATAATTGAATAACTTTCGCGCGACTAACTAAAATTCAATCACTTAAACGCTAAAATGATCTTACCTGTGTTTTCTTTAATGTTCCAAAGGATTTTTATTGTAAATGTAAGTTTAACTTAAGAAATTTTATTAATTTATTAGTATAAACAATTGAGATTTCTGCTAGTTGACGTGCAGACGACATTGCGCACGCAGCATTCTCACATAGCCAATTTAGTCCACGAATCACGTCAGTTGGCTATGTGAGAATGCTGCGTGCGCAATGTCGTCTGCACGTCAACTAGCAGAAATCTCAATTGTTTATACTAATAAATTAATAAAATTTCTTAAGTTAAACTTACATTTACAATAAAAATCCTTTGGAACATTAAAGAAAACACAGGTAAGATCATTTTAGCGTTTAAGTGATTGAATTTTAGTTAGTCGCGCGAAAGTTATTCAATTATTATTTAATAATTTTTTTAGTTGTAAAATTATAAAAAAATGTTCTGAAAGAGATTTATTCCTCTCATTTTCCTTGACATTTTAAAAAAAAGTAGACCTCAATCCGTTTATTAGAACGGAAGATATAGCAGTTTTAAATTTTTTGTTATTATTGCAAATCTCGTAAACTAACAAATATTTTAGGCTGAAATTTACGTTAAAGATTAGTCTTACTATATATAACAAAATTCCAAAGTTTCATTGCAATCGGTTAACCTACTCCGAAAAAGTCAAAATCTCACTTGGAATCGCACAAATAATAATAAAAATTATATTATAATTGAAACTTTTTTTTCTATAAATACCAAGTAGGGAATATACTGGTGCTGCACACAATGAACAATATTTTTTTTTTACTTTAAACTGTCACTTAGTATATGACTTAATTAATGACGATGAATAAAAATATCCGTCGTATTAACCATAAAATATTACGAAATCAAGAAATGTCAAAATTTTAGAAAAACAAAAGGAACAAAATACGACTAACTTCAAGTGTGGACAGACGGAATGAATGAATGAATACGGAAATTATTATAGTTAATATATATATATATATATATATATCGATCGATTCGTCTTGACGTAAGGAATACAATTATTTCATATATAAACTTCAATTTTAAAAATCACAAAATTTTATATACAAAATGTGAATTTTTGATTTTTTAACTTTCATTAATTCTTTAAATTTACCTCAAATGTATACTTTATATATATCGATAGATTCGTCTTGACGTAAGGAATACAATTTTATTATATATAACCTTAAATTTTTCTATTTAAAAATTTTTTTGATTAAAAAAAAATTTTTGGAAAAAAGACGATAAAATTTTTTTTTGGGGTATTTTTTAAAATCCTTTGGTCAGGTTTGAGATATTAATATATGATAAATGAGCCTACCAAATTTTATCTAAATCCATTAAAACCTGTTAAAGTTATCTTCTAAACAAAAAAGGGATCCACACACACACATACGTATACATCCGAACAATTGATCAGGATCTCATATAACATGTTTCTATAAAGAAAAAAATTTGTTTCCGCCACTTTGAAAAGTTTTATAAACGAAAGGACTATAAAACTTCCTCCACGAGGAAGCAAAATTGTTTGTTTTCAAGAAAATTTCGAATTAATTGCTTGCTTTGGAATTGAGCAATACTTTCATCTTTAAATTCAATTGTTCACTTAGTATAATCATAAAAATATTTAAAAATTAATAACAAAATGATTTTAAAATTGTTTAAAATTGAAAATATATTATTATTATTAATTTTATTAATTAAAATATTATTAAAATAATATTAAAATAAAATATTAAAATAAAACCTAAAAAATTATATTTTTGATCAAAATTGAACAGATAGATAAAAATGTGAAAAATGAAATTCATAAAAACATTTAAAAGCTTTTATTTTATAATAATTTTAATAAACTTTTTGAAACGTTGAACAACATGAAATTCTCCATTTTAATCAATTAATTTTTATTAATGATATTTTTGTACTCTTCTTGCGCCCAAGGTGGTAAGAAAGGAAGCATTTCCCTTAAGTCTTTCTTTTTTTCTTTGGTTAGACCAGATCCAGTTTCAGATCTTTGAAGTTCTATTTCCGCAAAGTTTCCGCATCTGCGAGGCATTTTCGATTTGTAAAAAGCAATGTTTTTAAATCTTAGTTTTTTCTTTTTTTAATTAATTTCTTAATCACCCAGTAAAAAGCGAGTAATTGAAAAAGAATGAACAATTTTTAATTCTTCTGAATTCGAAAATAATACCAGTTTAATTCTTTTCAATTCCGTTTTAAAATTTTACCCAGTCGAAAATCCTACGCTATGTTAAGCTGAACAAAAAGTTGTTTTGAAGTATTGATATAACCATTAGAGAATTGTGAGACAGTAGATAACTAGCTATTGAAAACTTTCAGGAAGCCTGTTATGGCCGATTTTTCGCTTCCACGGAAAGCTTGAAAATAACAAATTTTGTACGTTTTAAACAAAGCATTCAAGTAGCTTTGAGAGAGTTATCAAAGAGTTGCAGGATTTTGCATATATAAAAAGAAAGCGTTCAGGTGGCGAAAATTAAATGAAGCGTCATGGATGTTTCAGGAAACAGCGGAAAAATGACAATGATCAAAAATTAAATTTAACCTTTCTTTCCATCTTTATTTATCTCGTAAAAATATTATGTATTAGATTATTATATTTAAATATTGAAGAATTAAAGAAAAATTATTTACGTCAGACTCGGTATTTTAACTTTTAGTACATTGTTGTCAACCAAAATTTGTAAATAAAAATACGCTGTTAAATTCATTTTCATAAATTATGAAATTCTAAAAGAATAAAGAATATATTATTTATAAAAAATATTCATAAATATCAAGTATAAAAATAATAATCTTTTTTTTTAAATATTAAATATTTTGTCTTTTTTTTTAAGAAATTGTATTCATTATTCAATATAAAAGGTTTTCACCGTGTTCGTATTCCTAACCCCAAATTTTGCTCAAGTTATATATAATCTTTTTCGTATATAATTTAAGTGTTTAAAAATAAACGTTTTCTTTGAAAAGTAATTTTTATATAATATATAAATAATAATTATTAATTGTATAAAACGGATATTTACAAATTACTATAGAATTTTTATAATTTTTCGATTTAGTTTAATTTAATGAAATTATTCTAGTTTTCAGGAAGTGTAAAAAAGGTAATTAAATTACATATTAATTTGCAACTTGTGAAAAGCAAATAGAATTGCTTTCTTACACATTAAACCAGGCATTAGGAAAGCATTCACCAAGCAAACTGGTAGACCTTTTGCAAATATCACAGAATTTTAGGTCTAATGTATAAATAGTTGCCATGAAGCTTTTGAAACCTTCATAACAGTTACCTGAAGGCCATGTGAACCCTTCAGGGAAACTTACGATTTTCGACTGGGTAATTGTGCAAAAAAAATTTGACGGTCCGAATATTTAAAGTTTCGATTTTCATTGTCGCACCCAGTAAAAAAAAAAAGAATTGTGAGTAAGCGATAAGAATTGGTGGTAACTTAAGCTGAATTCGGTTTGGCGAAAAAAAAAATAATAAATGAATAAAATAAATGCTTCAAAGTCTAAAAAAGCCGATTTGGAATAAGAAATATATAATTTAAAAAAAATAAATGAAAGCGAAGTGTGACAGATTCACCGACGATTTTATCAAGTGAGTAGTGTTCATATGATAAATTTACCATATGAGTAGTACTCACATGGTAAAATTGTCGGTAAATCTATCACATTTCACTTTTATTTCTTTTTAAAAAATTATATATTTCTTATTCCAGAACGGCTTTTTTAGACTTCGAAACATTTATTCTTATTCATTTATAATGCAAACTCGAATAAACAAACGTCAATTCAAATGTTTAAGAGAAAAGAATTCACGGTAAGAAAAAAAGAATTCACCGTAACGTTCCAATATTCGGATTTTTCGCCAAACCACATTCAGCTTAAATTACCACCAATTCTTTTCGCTTACTCCTAATTCTTTTTTTTTACTGGGCAGTTAAACAACTGTGCCGCGCAGTCGTATAAACTGAACTGTAGATATTTGATTTTAAACGTATACTTCAAAATATTACAGAATTCAAAAGAATTAAAAAGTTAGCGAAATTTCAAAACGGAATTAATAGGAATTGAGTTTCAGATATAACTGAAATATTTAGTTCAGTATTTTGGAATTCAATCCTAGAAAAAAATTACACGTGTAATTACACGTGTAATTTATACTTCGATATTTTTAGAATTTTTTTTTAAACTTTTACACGTGTAATTACACGTGTAATTTTTTTCTAGAGAAAAGAATTAAAAAATTAGAGAAATATTAAAACGGAATTGATAGGAATTGAGTTTCAAGCAATCTTAGTCTCAACAAGGAATACATAGGAATTGGACACAAACAGAATTAAAAAAAATTTATAATTTATCGTTTTCAATAAAAAGTTAAAATTTTCCAATTCTTTTGAGTTCCTCACTTCTTACTTGGGCAATAATTGTGTTGTCAATGAGCTGGTTTTAACGCGATTCAAAACAGAAACCATTAATATTTGTAATTTGACTTATTTTATTAAAATGAAAAAATTTCCAAAAAAGGAAGTTTATGAGGAAAAATTAATGTAAATTAAAGAAAATTTCTGGTGTAGTGTTGCTAAATATTTTGATTAATGAAATATTTTTAGAAATTAATTTATTTGTTTGACTTACATACGTATACCTAATAATACTTTTTTAAGGAAATATATATGAGGCATTCTTTGTCAACGCGGACACCCTTCTCTCGCCCAAATTCTTTTCATTTTAAATTCATGTTTAATGGCTTAAATTTTAGTTAAAGGAATATACTTTTGAAATCTGAGTGGCATATATCCAAAATCAAAATATAGGATCCAATATAAAGGTTATTCTTTAAATTTACTAATAAAAAGTTACTCTAATTCATTTTGAACAATCCAAAAAGTAATGTTTGAGGCCTTTTTAGCCCTTTGTATTTGGAAATATGCCACTCAGATTTCAAAAGTATATTCCTTTAACTAAAATTTAAGCCATTAAACATGAATTTAAAATGAAAAGAATTTGGGCGAGAGGGGGGTGTCCGCGTTGACAAAGAATGCCTCATATATATATATATATATATATATATTCATTACATATTTATTTTGTTTCATACAAATTTTAGTCAATTTCTTAATGTAAAAAAAATTGTAATTTACAAAAATGTGTATGACAAAGCAATGCAATGAATACTCATAAAACTCATGAGACAATACCCTAAACTCTTAAACAGCCTGGAATAAACGCAGTGATAAAAGACTACACATTGTATTTTATATAAAATACGTAATACAATAATTAAATTTCTAATTCTATCTAAATAAATGTTTCAATTTTTAATATAAATTTTATATATTTCAGGTCTCCTCAATAAAGTTGAAAAATTTATTTCAACTGATGCTCATGATGTAGGAAAAGGTAAACTTTTTGGAATTCATAAATTATAATATAAGCATTGTTTTAATTTTTGCAAATATTTTTTTCATACATTTTTAAACTATAATTTAAAGTTCTAATTAGTTTATTAAAAAAAATTTTTTGAAATGTTTTGTGTTTACTCAAAGTTCAAAAATGAATTTCTTTTTTCAAAAATATCTATGTAAAAAGAAATTTATAAATTATTTATAAATTTTTTAAAAACAATGAGGATTAAAATGTTTTTTTCTTAAAATAATATATTACGAGATAAAAATTCTAGAAAAAAATGTCGATAGAAAAATTAATTAACTTCTGAAACAAATGTATATAATTATTTATCAATTTTAAAGTCATTAAAAAATTTGAACATTTTATTTAATACAAAATAAATTATAATTTTTTTTTAATTTATACAATTTTCAAATTACAGATGTAGGTGAAGGTGTGTCAAAAATTAAAAATTTTCTAGAAAGGAAAAAGATTGAATTAAAAGATGGTAAATAATAAATTAAAAATTGAATTTTATATTTATTTACACTCGAACAAGCTACAATATTAATTTTTACTAGGTATTGATTATTTAAATTATTATTACAGCTTTCTGGAGGTTAAGAGAAGCCGCTTCAGGTAAATTTTGTTACAAAATATAATTTATACTTAATATATTAAATATTATATTATTAAAATATAATATATATATATATATATCCCTATTGAAAATTCCTGTGAAGGAACACATATAGGATCCTATTTCGAGATCCATCGTAAGTTCCCTCAAATAGCACGGAAACTTGCAGCACGTTTGCTGCAAGTTTACAGTGCAAGGTTTGAAAGTTTGTAAGGTAAGTTTGCAGCAAACTTGTGGCAAATATTGAAATGTCCTCCCTTGGCAAGTTTGCAGCAAAAACTTTCTGCAAACATGCTAAGCAAAATTGTCGAAAAGTTTCAAGAACAATTTGTAGCAAAATTGTATTGTTCAAAATTTTATAACTATTTTGTATTTAATTAAAAAATTTAAAAAAAAATTATATAAAAATTATTAATTATACTCAATTTTAAAAATGTTCCATAACAAATATTTTCAAATGCATAAAGTCACTGAGAATAAATTACAAATTTTCTTTCAAACAATTGTATCGTTATTTCTCCTTTTCTATTCTGTGATTTAATTATTTAAATTCAAAAGAAATTGACAAATTAATTTTCCATAAAACTATTAAATATTTATTTTACTAAAACATCCATTTTAAAATTTCTAAAAAATTTCAGCGCAATTTTGCAACAAATTGTTCTTGAAACTTTTCGACAATTTTGCTTAGCATGTTTGCAGAAAGTTTTTGCTGCAAACTTGCCAAGGGAGGATATTTCAATATTTGCCACAAGTTTGCTGCAAACTTACCTTACAAACTTTCAAACCTTGCACTGCAAACTTGCTGCAAGTTTCCGTGCTATTTGGGCCCTCGTATGTTCATATGTAGTTTACCACACAGGATCTTTTACAAAAGGATCCTGTAAGGAACTTGTGTGTGAACTATCATGGTTTCCCGCATGTTGAAAATAATTACAACAGGGGATCTCACGATTTTTCCTGTTGTATAAATGTTGTATAAAAGTGTTCCTAAATAGGTTCCTGCATGGTAACCTTAATAATATTATTTACAAATTTGTACGCCCCACTGAAAATTCCCACATAGGCTCCCATATGGGAAATTAGATGAGTCCCTATATAGGAAGCCATATGGTTTCCTATACAAAATCGTATACGTAATTGGAACAGGAATTTCAATAGGACATTAAGTCGGAATTATCATATGAATCCACATTCACACAGGAATGTACATTCCTATGTATATTCCTATTTCAATTCCTATAATATGAATTTTTTTTCAACTCTAAGATATATATCTTTCAATACTAGAGGTTCCTGATAGACTACAGAGATGAAAAAAATTTATTGCGCAGCCGAAAAAGTTGAAGAAAACTACTGCGCATGATATTAAGATATAATGTGCATTCATATGATAATTCCTACTTAATTTCCTATTCAAATTCCTGTTCCAATTACGTATACGATTTTGTATAGGAAACCATATGGCTTCCTATATATAGGAGCCTATGTGGGGATTTTCAGTAGGGGTACGTACCTTTTTGTTACTAAAATGTATACTTTTAATCAACAAATTAAACAAAATGTGGTTTTTTTTTGTTATCGAGATATTAATTAATGTTAATAAAAAATTAAATATTTTACAAACAAATAAAATTTACCGTGATTCTCACAACATACCAATTGAAATAACTTATGTAATTCCGCATCCAACGAGTTTGTAAAATATTTCATTTTTTTATTAACATTAAGTAATTAATTAATATTAATAAATCAAAGAACAAAATTTTGTTTAAAATGTCCTTTAAAAATAAAATTCAGAAATATTTTTAATTTTCAAAAAAAGGGTTGAATATTTTAAACAATTTAAACAAATTTTTGCACCATTCGAAAGAGTTGGAAAAAAGATTTTTCAAAAAAATCCAATGTTCACATTTTTGCTATTGGATCACTTGTTATTTAAGAAATTAGTAAAATTCTATTTGCTTAAGTATAACAGAAGAAAATTTTTTCCTCTTATTCAATAATTTTTTATTCAAGACTAATTTATAAATAAAAACATTTATAGATGTTAATGGTGACATAGGTTATTTGCTCCATTCAATAATACAAAAAATTGAAAACCTTATACCAGCAGGTAAGTGATCTTAATATCGAATTGACATTAATTATCATTATTAATAAAATTTTGCTCACTAATTTTATTTTTCCGACTTATTTTTATAATTGTTTATTAATTGCTGTTAAGCATATAAAACAAAAAAAATTCTATTTTAAAGTATTATAATTTTGTTTAAAAAAAGGCAATCATTTTACAGTAACAATAATGAACGACTTCTTGTAGATATTGCACAGAAACTCTCAACATTAAAACAGGATGCAATAAGAGAAGAGTTAAAGACCTTGCGTGGTAATTTATATAAATACATAATACGATAATTAAGTTTTAATTAAAAGATGTTTTTGTCATTTTTGGCCTAAATGGCTTTTAGTTTATTTCAACAATTGACATGACGCGTTTCGACACAGAATCCCAGTAAAAAAAAAAAGAATTGGGAGTGAGCGATAAGAATTGGTGGTAACTTAAGCTGAATATGGTTTGGCGAAAAAACCGAATTGGAACGTTACGGTGAATTCTTTTTTTCTAACCGTGAATTCTTTTCTCTTAAACATTTGAATTGACGTTTGTTTATTCGAGTTTGCATTATAAATGAATAAAATAAATGCTTCGAAGTCTAAAAAAGCCGATTTGGAATAAGAAATATATAATTTAAAGAAATAAATGAAAGCGAAGTGTGACAAATTCACCGACGATTTTATCAAGTGAGTAGTGTTCATATGATAAATTTACCATATGAGTAGTACTCACATGGTAAAATTGTCAGTAAATCTATCACATTTCACTTTTATTTCTTTTTAAAAAATTATATATTTCTTATTCCAGAACGGCTTTTTTAGACTTCGAAACATTTATTCTTATTCATTTATAATGCAAACTCGAATAAATAAACGTCAATTCAAATGTTTAAGAGAAAAAAATTCACGGTTAGAAAAAAAGAATTCACCGTAACGTTCCAATTCGGTTTTTTCGCCAACCCAGTCGAAAATCCTACGCTATGTTAAGCTGAACAAAAAGTTGTTTTGAAGTATTGATATAACCATTAGAGAATTGTGAGACAGTAGATAACTAGCTATTGAAAACTTTCAGGAAGCCTGTTATGGCCGATTTTTCGCTTCCACGGAAAGCTTGAAAATAACAAATTTTGTACGTTTTAAACAAAGCATTCAAGTAGCTTTGAGAGAGTTATCAAAGAGTTGCAGGATTTTGCATATATAAAAAGAAAGCGTTCAGGTGGCGAAAATTAAATGAAGCGTCATGGATGTTTCAGGAAACAGCGGAAAAATGACAATGATCAAAAATTAAATTTAACCTTTCTTTCCATCTTTATTTATCTCGTAAAAATATTATGTATTAGATTATTATATTTAAATATTGAAGAATTAAAGAAAAATTATTTACGTCAGACTCGGTATTTTAACTTTTAGTACATTGTTGTCAACCAAAATTTGTAAATAAAAATACGCTGTTAAATTCATTTTCATAAATTATGAAATTCTAAAAGAATAAAGAATATATTATTTATAAAAAATATTCATAAATATCAAGTATAAAAATAATAATCTTTTTTTTTAAATATTAAATATTTTGTCTTTTTTTTAAGAAATTGTATTCATTATTCAATATAAAAGGTTTTCACCGTGTTCGTATTCCTAACCCCAAATTTTGCTCAAGTTATATATAATCTTTTTCGTATATAATTTAAGTGTTTAAAAATAAACGTTTTCTTTGAAAAGTAATTTTTATATAATATATAAATAATAATTATTAATTGTATAAAACGGATATTTACAAATTACTATAGAATTTTTATAATTTTTCGATTTAGTTTAATTTAATGAAATTATTCTAGTTTTCAGGAAGTGTAAAAAAGGTAATTAAATTACATATTAATTTGCAACTTGTGAAAAGCAAATAGAATTGCTTTCTTACACATTAAACCAGGCATTAGGAAAGCATTCACCAAGCAAACTGGTAGACCTTTTGCAAATATCACAGAATTTTAGGTCTAATGTATAAATAGTTGCCATGAAGCTTTTGAAACCTTCATAACAGTTACCTGAAGGCCATGTGAACCCTTCAGGGAAACTTACGATTTTCGACTGGGAAACCACATTCAGCTTAAGTTACCACCAATTCTTATCGCTCACTCCCAATTCTTTTTTTTTTACTGGGATTCTATGTCCTCATCAGATACATTTCTGCAAAGATAAATCTTTTTAGAATTTTTTCAAACGAAGATTAAGGCCAGGTCCAAGTCGACTCAGCTGTTCCTTTGAAGTTTCAATGAAACAGCTGACACGACTTGGACCTGGCCTTAAAGCTCTTTTTATGAATAATACATACCGACATTGTCACGTCTGTTTCATTTTAGTTAATATACATAATGAGTTTTTTTTAATTTTGTTATAATAATTTTAATCATCTGTAAAAATGTAAAACTATAAGAAGCAGCTATTACTTAAATTATTTTTTGTATAATTATGAAACATGTACCTTTCTAGCCTACAAAATTGAAACACATGTCAAACATGTGTTTCAAAAAAAGTTTTATTTTTAATTTATAATTTTTTCAACTTAACATATATAATATTTTTTTCAATTCAATTTTCAAAATTAATTAAAGGTACATGTTTCATAATTATACAAAAAATAATTTAAGTAATAGCTGCTTCTTACAGTTTTACATTTTTACAGATGATTAAAATTATTATAACAAATTTAAAAAAAACTCATTATGTATATTAACTAAAATGAAACAGACGTGACAATATCGGTATGTATTCTTCATAAAAAGAGCTTTAATCTTCGTTTGAAAAAATTCTAAAAAGATTTATCTTTGCAGAAATGTATCTGATGAGGACACAGAATTCTGTGTCGAAACGCGTCATGTCAATTGTTGAAATAAACTAAAAGCCAGTTAGGCCAAAAATGACAAAAACATCTTTTAATTAAAATATATTGGCTTTAACCTCTAGAAATTATAATTAAGTTTTATTCTATCTAAATAAATGTTTCAATTTTTAAAAAAAATTTTATATATTACAGTTCTTATCATTGATCTCCAAAGAATAATTTTTGATCAATATAAAGAAGGAAATAACGTTGGTCAAGGTAAATTTTTTTTTGAATTCGTAAATTACTATAAGAAGCATTGTTTTTATTTTTGCATTATGTAAAATTTTTTGAACAAAATCTGATTTTATTTTTTCGAAAAATAGTAATTTTTATAATTATTCTTTATTAATAGTTAAACGTATAAGAAAACAAAAAAAAATAGTTCCATTTAAAAATATTCTAACTTTGTTTAAAAAAAGTAATCATTTTACAATAATATAAAAAAAATTTTAAAGGAATAATTTTAACAAAATATTTCGTTAGTATAAATAAATTGTAAAAAAAATTCAAACTGTTATAAATAAATTAGTGGACAAAAAATATTTTGTTCCTTTAATAATAATTGACATTAGCAAATGAAATCCGTATCTAATTTTAAAAAATACATTCTTTTATTATTTTTATTATCTTACATTATTTATGAACGACTTCTTGCAGATATTACAAATAAACTCTCAATATTAAAACAGGATGCAATAAGAGAAGAGTTAAAGACCTTGCATGGTAATTTATATAAATACATAATATGATAATTAAGTTTTTAATTCTGTCTAAATAGGGTCAGTTGGGATAAATAGGGACAAAATCCCTATTTTTCACAAATTTCGTAAGTTTCTTCCTTTAAAATGTAATATTTGCGGGTTCTTCTTTTTTAAGTTATTATTTACATTCCCAGAATTAATTTTATGCAGCAGAAATAAATTTAGATAAGCTTTGAACGCATGAAACTGAATGTACCCATTTACCACAAAATTTAGAAAATTTCATAAAATTTTGGGTAAATAGGGACAGCATAGTTTCTAAGAAAGGTTTAAGAAAGAAGAAAAAGAAGAACTTAAGAAAAAAGTTTGCATAAGTATATTACTGTATTAAGGGATGAAAAAACTTGCAAAAAATTTGTAATATAGCGGAAGAACTTAAAAATTTTCTTTTAAATTGACTAAATTTGCTTGGTTTATGTCTTTTATTTATTTCTTTTTTATTTCAGTATTTTGTCTCGCATTTGAAAAAAACAGACTTAAAAATCTTACAAAAATTTTTCCTTATTCCTTATGATTTCCATAACAGAAATTCATTTGAATTTTTAATTTTTGTCAATTTGTTTAATAACACAGGCACATTAAAAAAAAAAGTTGTCTGTTTCTTGAACTAGATATATATTTCCTATAGTATTTTGGCCCGCTGAAACCGAATCTGTGCTCAGAATTGCTCCATCACCCTCAGTTTTTTTTAAATCGACCAAAACCACCCTTAAATGGACAAATTCACACTTCGGAGATAAAAAATAAATCAACTTATTTTTTTAAAAATTCGAATTTTACATCTAAGAAACTTTGCTCCACTAACTCTAAAACAAAGCCAGCATTGATCCAGCACCCCCTGAATTTTTTCAATTGAAAAAACTACCCCTAATCTGCAGAATCAAATTAAGGGGATAAAACAATAAAATAACTGATTGACAAATTTTATATCCAGATATTTTTACTCCAGCAATGCAGAAACAAAGCCAGAAATGCTCCCTCACCCTCTAAATTTTTTTAAATAGAAAAAACCACCCTTAAATAGAAAAATTTAAATTTAATAAGTAAAAAATATTAAATTACTGGTTTCTTTAAAAACAGAACCTTACATGTTTGTAGTTTTGCTCCACTAACTCAAAAACAAAGCCAGCATTGATCCAGCACCCCCTGAATTTTTTTAATCAAAAAAACTACCCTTAATCTGAAGAATCAAATTTAGGAGGTAAAACAATAAAATAACTGATTCAAAAAGTTTATAACCAGGTATTTTTACTCTAGCAATGCGGAAACAAAGCCAGAAATGCTCCCGCACCCTCTAAAATTTTTTTAAATCGAAAAAACCACCAAAGAATCAAACTTAGAAGGTAATTTAATATAATTATATTGTGTTATCTCCTAAGTTTGATTCTTCAGGTTAAGGGTAGTTTTTTTGATTAAAAAAATCACAGGGTGATGGATCAATGCTGGCTTTATTTTTTTGAGTTAGAAGAGCAAAACTACAAACATGTAAGGTTCGGTTTTTAAAGAAACCAGTAATTTAATATTTTTTACTTATTAAATTTAAATTTTTCTATTTAAGGGTGGTTTTTTCGATTTAAAAAAATTTAGAGGGTGAGGGAGCATTTCTGGCTTTGTTTCTGCATTGCTGGAGTAAAAATATCTGGTTATAAAATTTGTCAATCAGTTATTTTATTGTTTTATCCCCTTAATTTGATTCTGCAGATTAGGGGTAGTTTTTTCAATTAAAAAAATTCAGGGGGTGCTGGATCAATGCTGGCTTTGTTTTAGAGTTAGTGGAGCAAAGTTTCTTAGATGTAAAATTCGATTTTTTAAAAAAATAAGTTGATTTATTTTTTATCTCCGAAGTGTGAATTTGTCCATTTAAGGGTGGTTGTGGTCGATTTAAAAAAAAACTGAGGGTGATGGAGCAATTCTGACCTCAGATTCGGTTTCAGCGGGTCAAAATACTATAGGAAATGTATGTCTAGTTCAAGAAACAGACAACTTTTTTTTTTGTGTGCCTGTGTAATAACCTATCCCCATTTACCCTAAGAATTTGAAAACTCGGGGTAAATGGGGACAGTTTGTTATTATTAACCAAATTGACGAAAATCAAAAATTCAAGTGAATTTCTGTTATGAAAGTCATAAGGAATAAGAAAAATTTGTTGTATCATTTTTAAGTCTGTTTTCTTTGAAATGCTTGACAAAATAGTGAAACAGTTTGACTTTGATTTTCAAGTTTTTATGCATTGAGCGATAACTTTTTTTATCTTTCTGCCAATTGTCAAGATAAAAGCTTGGCAATACCCAAAACCTCTTGCAGGTGATCTGATGTTAAAATATTGACGTTGAACTTAATTTTAAAACTGCAAGTTAAGCTCCAACACCTCTTTTCCCCATTTATCCCAACTGACACTAAATGTTTCAATATTTAATACAAATTTTATATATTACAGATCTTCTCAATGAATTCGAAAGAATAATTTCAAGTGAAGCTAAAGAAGTAGGAAATAATATTGGTCAAGGTAAATTTTTTTAAATTCGTAAATTACTATAAAAAACACAGTTTTAATTTTTGCAAATATCTTGTGTAAGATTTTTTGTACAAAAACTGTTTATTTTTATATAAAATAACGAAAAGTAAAAAATTAAATTTAATAAATTTTGATTTTTTATACATTTTAAAAGTAGGCAAATTAATTTGAAAAATGTGAAATTATTTTCTAAAATAATTTCATTAAGTTTTTATGTCATATATTTTTTATCAATGATGAAAATTTTTTTTTAAATTTATATTCAAATTGTAGGTAAAATACTGATTTTTAATTTTTTTTTAGATCTGATTATAATTTAAAGTTTTAATCAAAAAATTAATTTATTTTTTTAAAAAAGAAACAAACTATAAATTATTTATAAATTTCTTTTTAAAATAATAAAGATTAGAATTTAATTTAATTTAACACCGAAAAAAAAATCCTCTTGTTTCAAGAGGATTCCTCTTATTTCAATGCATATTTTTCTCTAGTATATGCTGCAAAAGGATGTCCTCTAGGTTTAGGAGGATTGTCCTCTATGTAAAATTATTCCTCTTAATTTAAGAGGATACTCTTATTTTAAGAGGAAAATATCATCTTAAAAAGAACTCTGAAATAATAAAAATGCAATTATCTAGTTTGTATGTTATAGATATAATAATCTATAAAATTAAAAGTAATAAAATTTGTTATTCCGTGATTTACATCTATTTGTGTATAAATAAATTGAGATTGATTTTAATTTTTTTGAATAAATCAACTAAATCTATTTTTAATAATATTTTTATGCGCAAAACATATAATTCATTAAATTTGAAAATTTATTTTAAATAAATTTTAAATAAAATTAAAATAAATAAAAATCGTAATAAAATAAAATTTTAAAAAGCATAACCTCAAAATTATTTAAATTTTCTATGGGAAATCCTCTTAGAATTTAGAGGAATATTCTTAAACATAGAAGATTATTCTAAATTCTAAGAGTATTATTTTTATTCTAAAAAGATTATTCTGAATATAAAAGGAATGCTCTAGAATAGTCCTTTTGTTTCGATCCTCTTCAAATTAGAGGAAAATATTCTCATTTAAAGAGTAATACTCTTGTTTTAAGAATAAAATTCAAGAGGATTCTGTAAGAGAAATTTTTATCTGAATTCAAGAATATTTTTTTTTCGGTGAATAACTTGTAATATTTTATATTAAATGGTTCAATAATAGGTCAACTGCTTCGTTTTTGAGTTTAGTCAATGGTCATACCAATATTATTGAAATTAAAAATTAATAGCAAAAAAAATTTCTGTAATAATAAATAATAAGTAAATTAAAAATCATAGAATGTTAATTATTTTTAATGTTAACCGATAGAAAATGGGCCACCTCAAGGACCCCCACCTCAAGGACCCCCACCTCCATCTGGCGGTAAGTAAATTCCATAAAAACAATATGTTAATTAATAAAACATTATTTATTGCATTTGCGACGGGACGCATGATTATTATTTATTATTATTAAAAATAATTAGTTAGAATTTTTAATTTAAAGAATTTTATTAGATATAATTATATTTTTTAGACAAATTTTCATTTTTTGAATTAGTCTTTAAGAGAATTTTTTTTTAATTGAATTTTTACTTAAGAAACATTTGAGATATCAAATTTTTATTTAGCAAAATTTTTATTTCACATATACAGAATTTCTTTATACACAAGTTTTTATTTAAAAGAATTTTAATTTAGCATAATTCTCATTCAAGAGAATTTTAACTGATACAAAGTTTTATTTGACAAAATTTCTAATTCACCGAATCTTTATTTGTTGGATTATATAGAATGTTAATTTTTTTAAGGTCAATGGGCAGGAAATGAGCAACCTTTCGGACCTCCACCTCAATCTCCACCTGGCGGCAAGTAAATTCTATAAAAACAATATTAATTAGCAAATATTATTTATTGCATTTGCGACGAGGTACCGTTAAAACTTATAAGCATTAGTTGTTAAAATAAAAAATTGACAAAACATTTTTTAGGGTTTCGTGGCCCATGGCCGAAAGCCTTATAGTTTCACTTTGGCGTCCGTCTGCCCGTAGTATATTTTGGGGCACCACAGCTCTCAAAATAAAATTTTAGGACACAGATCGCAAATTAAAATTTTGGGGCACCACAGATCCCAAATTCGAATTTTGGACAAACATAGCTTCCAAATTCGAATTTTGGGGCACCACAGATCCCAAATTCAAATTTTGGGGCACCATAGCTCCCAAATTCAAATTTTGGGGTCCCACAGATCCCAAATCTCCATTTACTGAATGGACATTACATGTCCCATTAATTAACATGCCCCTACAATTGACATGTCCCAGTAGTTGACCTGTCTCAGTAATTGACATGTCCATATAGTTGACATGTCCATATAGTTGACATGTCCCTATAGTTGACATGTCCCAGTAGTTGATATGTCCCTATAGTTGACATGTCCAAGAGTTGACATGTCTTAATAGTGGACATTATCGAATGGACATTTTACCTAATGTTTTAGGTAAATTTATGAAATAAATTTTATTATTTATTTTTAAATTATTTATTTTTGATTTTTTTTAAATTAAAATTTAAAGCGCCACGAAATCCTATAGATGTAGGCGCAATTGCGCCTAGTTCTTTTCCTATTTTTAATAATTTAAATTGATTTTTGATATCGAAAATTATTTTATTGTTGATAAGATTTAAAAGTAAATAATAGATTATACAATAGTTTTTCAATATTTTTAAAGTTTAATAAATTATTCACATATAATAAAAATGTTTCTCTGTATGTAAAACGATTGTTCCTAAATTAAAGTTTTTGCAATTACAGATAATTACCAGGGTCCTGTTGGGCAGTGAATAAGACTCTATTAACAATATAACAGAAAATTTTATTTAAACAAACTTAATAATTTGCTAATAAATAAAATATAATAATGTACATTATTTGATGTATTCAATAAATATCTGTTATTGATATAATCGTGTTTATGTATAATGATAATAAAAATTATTATTATTATTACAACCCACATAGCACCGAAAATTATCCGAAGATTCATTGAAGGTTTAAACATTAACTTGGGAGTATTGAATCGCCGGATTCAGAAACATATATATATATACCTATTATATGTATACTTTTCTTCAATCTTCGTCATTCTTTTCCTTTTTAAATTGATTATAAGATATATTGAACTTTTCCAAAGTAATATAACAATAACGGTAATCCCACCTCACGATTTTTGAGGTCGTATATATAAACTACAATTGAGGGTCCCGATCAAATAACTCGACCGACGCTCGGACGAACGCTTTATTACCAGTCAAGTAGCAGTGACAGCCTGTGGGCGGCTCACTGCTACCCGACTACCATTAGGGCGTTCGTCCGAGCGTCGGTCGAGTTATTTGATCGGGATCCTCAATTTTTTAATCAATTTAGACCCTTCTCCTAATATCTAATATACTTAAAACTCAAATAATTGTATCATTATATATTTTTTCTGACATTATCCAATGTAGCATTAAATCACTTTAAAAGCATTTCAATTCCTCCATATGTTTTATATTATTTATTACCATGTTTGATATATATAGAAAAAGAATTTAATTTAAGGATACTTTAGTAACAGTCTATTTTTGTCATTTGAACAAGGTGGTTGTACAAAACATGAAGTTTATAAGTCTGTTTACTGTGAGTTTTATTTTTTGGAAAGAAATCCTAGGCATACCATCAACAAGTAATTATTTTGATGGATTGATAAAGTATTTAAAAGAAGAATCAAAGTTGCATCATGTAGTGTTTATTCTTGACGATAAAGAAGAAAATATTGATCCAATAATGAATTCTCTTATGACAACAGTCAATTCGCATTTTCCATCTTTGAGCATTAGTTACAGTCAACTATATAACAAAATTAAAAAGCCACATTTAAAGTTTCTTATGCGACCGAGACATACTACACTGTTTATTTTACAGTGGATTAACGAAAGTTTTAATATTATCGGAAATGAATCGTTATTTGCAAATCAGGATTTATTACGATATGGATCATCAAGATCAAGATGTTTATTTGTAAATTCTAATTTTTTAACTCATGATAACATTAGTTATTTTATGAAAGACATGTATGAATCTTATTATTATTTGGATATTACTTTATTAACGTACAATAGTGAACGCAAAGTATCGGTCGAACCAACCGTAGAAAAATTACCTATTATAAGTCACTGGAATCCTTTTAACAATACTTGTTCAGAACAGGTTGTATCAGCCAAAAGTCAATGGTTTCCAAATAATTTGTTAGAGTTAAATGGAAAGGAATTGGAAATACCTTATTATAATCACAATATTAAAATAGATTCTGAAATGTTAAGGCAGTTAACTAATTTTTTAAAACCATTACAAAATTGTGAATCAAATGTTAAAGACAGTTTGAAGGGACCTCAATCGCTTGAAAAAGATAAATGTTTATATTTGTCCGCTATGGTACAAGATTTTATTAAACACATTTATTCTAATTCACGATTTCTAGAGTTTCTTACTGTAAAAGCTATTGTTCCACGAAATGCAAAAGTTACTAATGAAATCCAACTTTCATCAGAATTTTGGAACATGATCCTGACAACAATTGGAATAGTTGCAGTAATACGTTTAACGGCCTATTTATTAAAATTCAAATGGCAGACTTTGAATATCAGTCAAATTATAATTGGAATGGGTACTGAGAATAAACTCCAAAATTGGAGAGAAAGAATAATTTTTGGCTCACTCTTAATTGCATGCATTGCCTATACAAGTTATTTTTACACCATAATTCTTGATATCAGTTTTCGTACTGCTCATGAAATTTCAACACTCGATGAACTTCTTAATAAATCATCTCTGTTTCCAGTTATAAATAATAGATCTCGGTATTTACTATCTTATTTTAATAATTCTGTTACTGGACAATTGTTAAACAAAACATCTTATCATTTCAAAGATAAAGTGTATTATGAAGAAGAAGAATGTTTAAAATATTTAGTAGACCATCAGAATATAACATGTATCTTTCATTATGCTTCAAGTCACATTAAGTCATATGAATCTAAGAACGGAAGAACAAATAAGTTTAAAATATTAAAAGAAGATATTAATTATGTTTCAAATAGTATTGATTTAGAAGATAAATTACCATTTCTTAATCCTGAATATCAAATAATTCGAAGACTTTCAGAATTTGGATTACTTAAAGATTTTTATGAACCTATTGTACAACCACTGATTAATAATTTGAAACCTGAACTAATTACAAAAGAAAAACTCCTACCCATATTACTTGGTGTACTAATCACTGGATACTCTCTTTCGATAATTGTTTTTCTCCTCGAAATAATTACTGCCAAGATAAAAAGAAAATATTTTAACAAGCCAAGATTTCGATTTGTACTCTAAGAAGATATCAATGTTATTTAATTTGCCAGAACCGAGCATCTGTCAATATAGGTAAGATAATTTTAATTTTTATCATAAAATAAAATAGATATCAGTGTTGTTTTATATACATAAAAAAAAATGTTCTCCTTTTAAATTCATTAGATTTAATTGATATTTGTTAATCTGAGGTATCAACTATCACTGATTATGAATCTAATGTTGGGTTTTTAAAATTTGATAAGCTGGATTTAAAATAATAAAAAAAATTTTTATTTGATCCGATTTGTTAAAAACTTGTTATTCTGGGGTATTCAAAGTCAAATTTATTATCAGATTTGTAAACTCACTGAAAACACCCGAATAGCGAGTTTCATGTCAATCAGATAAACTGAAGAAAAATTCGCAAATTTGAATTTTGTTAATCAAATATGTCAGGTTTGAAATCTGTGACCTTTAAAATCTCAGTTATACAAGCAGTTTATTAAAGCAAATTTAAAAAGTTTTATAAATTTTTCAATTACCATATTGAAACCGACATTTTGAATTTTGAAAAACTGACTTTGACTTCGTAATTAGCGACTCCGAAAATATCAGAGAAAAAAAATTTAAGTAAATTTAAACGCTTTTTGAAATTTCGACCGCCATATTAGATACGCCATTTTGAATTTGACCTCATTCGTATTCAGCAACACTAAAAACTATAAAGAACAACTTTTACTTTCTTTTATTAAATATTCAGATTTTACTATAGGTGTTGAAATGAAATTGTTTACTAACATCGTTTAGAAAATATAATAAACTTTGGGAACTATAAATAAGCTCTAAAATTAATTTGTTAAAAATTCCATTTGATCGAATTCCATTACCGTGAATTTAATTTTAGTCAAATTTTTATTTCTTTCAAATATTATTTAACAGAAATTTGATTTAAATGAATTTCTATATCAAACAACTATATTAATTTAACAAATTTCCATATTACAAATTTTAAGTTTCATCAAATGTTAGTTTGTAAGAATTATTCTTTGCTGGAATTTTCATTTAGATAGGAAGACATTTAACATTAGATATTTAAAAGAATTTTCATTTTTTCGAATAAGTAGCTAAATAAAATCAGACGCAAATTTTACAATTACTATATCTGACAGATATTTATTCGGAAAAATGAAAATCAATTAAACAAGTTGTAAATTCAGATGTTCATTACATGAACATTTTGCTTCCTCTTTACAATCAGCAAAAAAATTTGCTTCCTCGTGGAGAAAGCAAAATTTTATTGCCAAAATGTGAATTTTTGATTTTCTAACTTCCATTAATTCTTTAAATTTACCTCAAATGTATACTTTATATATATACATCGATCGATTCGTCTTGACGTAAGGAATACAATTATTTCATATATAAACTTCAATTTTAAAAATCACAAAATTTTATATACAAAATGTGAATTTTTGATTTTTTAACTTTCATTAATTCTTTAAATTTACCTCAAATGTATACTTTATATATATCGATCGATTCGTCTTGACGTAAGCCCTAGCGGATTCGATTTGCGTAATGTCTACTTAAGAGCATTTGAACCTTCGTGACGTCACAAATCATGGCGCATGACACGCAAACTTCTCAGGTATGTGAAAAACACAATTTTGAATATTTTTTAAAAAAACCTTTTGGAAAATGTTCAGAATAACATAGACTCTGTCTGTTATGTGCGGAAAATTCAAAATTTTGCGTATAAAACGTTTTTTAAACAATGTTTAAGTTGGTTGTCACAAGTAAGGAAAAATACACGAATTGCTTATATGTAGGCATTGTTTAAAAAACGTTTTAAACGCAAAATTTTGAATTTTCCGCACATAACAGACAGAGACTGTGTTATTCTGAATATTTTTCAAAAGGTTTTTTTAAAAAATATTCAAAATTGTGCTTTTCACAAACCTGAGAAGTTTGCGTGTCATGCGCCATAATTTGTGACCTTAACATTGTTTAAAAAACGTTTTAAACGCACAATTTTGAATTTTCCGCACATAACAGACAGAGTCTATGTTATTCTGAACATTTTCCAAAAGGTTTTTTTAAAAAATATTCAAAATTGTGCTTTTCACATACCTGAGAAGTTTGCGTGTCATGCGCCATGATTTGTGACGTCACGAAGGTTCAAATGCTCTTAACTAAGTGGACTTTAGGTAGACATTAGGTAAACATGTAAAAAAACGTATAGAAAAGCTATTAATCGACTTATTATGATAAAAAAAAGTTGATAAAAGGGTAAATGAATGTTTATAGAGTAAATTCGTACAAAATTTGTAATTAATAAAGCATTAAATAATTAATAATGAATGGAAAAGTGCGCGAGGTACCTGATCAGTTCAGCTGTACAATTATTTTCGTGCTATTTTCATGAAAAAAATATAAATTAACGGCAAAAACAATTGATATTTATAAAAAAGTGTAAAATTGATTTAATTTGAGTGTTTGCAATACGAATTATTAAATAATAATTAAGTTTTTATCAAATGTGAATAGTGTTGTGAAAACCTGTGAAAACTAATGAGTTACTACATTACCGATCGCATATGATAATAAAAAGTTCTCGATGAGTGTAACAAAAAAGCTGCAATCATGTCCGTAATTTTGGACGAGAAACAATTATGAAATCAATAATTATTTGTATAACTTTATTCTGCATTTTAAAATTTACTTTTTATTTTCTTTCAAAGCAAAAGCTTGGAAGAAAACATGCTCGCACTGTATTGTAAAAACTGGTGGCGCCATCTCTAGCAATCTCGGAAATTATGTACTTGGTTAAATTGGAGCTTTTTTGTTACACTCATCGAGAACTTTTTATTATCATATGCGATCGGTAATGTAGTAACTCATTAGTTTTCACAGGTTTTCACAACACTATTCACATTTGATAAAAACTTAATTATTATTTAATAATTCGTATTGCAAACACTCAAATTAAATCAATTTTACACTTTTTTATAAATATCAATTGTTTTTGCCGTTAATTTATATTCTTTTCATGAAAATAGCAAGAAAATAATTGTACAGCTGAACTGATCAGGTACCTCGCGCACTGTTCCATTCATTATTAATTATTTAATGCTTTATTAATTACAAATTTTGTACGAATTTACTCTATAAACATTCATTTACCCTTTTATCAACTTTTTTTTATCATAATAAGTCGATTAATAGCTTTTCTATACGTTTTTTTACATGTTTACCTAATGTCTACCTAAAGTCCACTTAGTTAAGTAGACATTACGCAAATCGAATCCGCCAGGGTAGGAATACGATTTTATTAAATATAACCTTAAATTTTTCTATTTAAAAATTTTTTCGATTAAAAAAAAAATTTTTGGAAAAAAGACGATAAAATTTTTTTTTGGGGTATTTTTCAAAATCCTTTGGTCAGATTTGAGATATTAATATGATAAATGAGACTACCAAATTTTATCTAAATCCTTTAAAACCTGTTAAAGTTATCTTCTAAACAAAAAAGGGATCCACACACACACATACATACATCCGGACAATTGATCAGGATCTCATATAACATGTTTCTATAAAGAAAAAAATTTGTTTCTGCCACTTTGAAATGTTTTATAAACGAAAGGACTACAAAGCTTCCTCCACGAGGAAGCAAAATAAAAATTCTGTAAAATGTAAATTTGAGAAAATAAATATTCAGATAAAAAAATTATTTCATATACTCTATCTATAAAATAAAAATTATTTTAAAAAAACATTCTAACAAACAACAATTCAAACAAATAATAATTTTGACAAATTATTTCGATTAAATTAAAGTCTGCTAAATGAAAATTAGTTTAGTTAATAACTGTGTAATATATGTGTAAATTCATTATCATAAAATTTCTGTTAAATAATAATATGAGCAAATAATAATTTAATTTAAACAATATTACTTTTTCCATTATCCAAAATGACATTCTATTAATAAAATGTTTCTTTTTTCTGTATTTTTAAGTTATTGTCTTATACTAATCACATTTTAGAAAGTTAAAAATAAAATTGTATGACGTTTTCAAAAATATTTTTTCTTCATTCTTCGTCCTTCTTTCCCTTTTTATATTGATTATAATATATTCAAATTTTCTAAAATAGTTTAATAATAAAAGTAATTCCATCTCATAATTTTTGGAGTTGTTCATCTATACTACGTTACCAATTTTTCAACTACTTATACGTCTTTCTCTCTGTTCGTTTACAAATTTATTTCCATTTTTATAAATTTTAACCCGGTTGAAAAAACTTGTACAAGAAAATGTACAAGTTGTTGAACGTGTTCATTAATGAACTTGTACATTTTTTATACATGTTCGAGTAATGTTCTTGAACAAGTTCAGCATCCGGAATTGAGACATGTTCTTGTACCAGAATTTGTACAAGATCCTGGACAAGAAAATGTACATGTTCTTGTACATATTTTTTTGTGCAGGTTTCATATACATTTTCTTGTACCAGATGTGGAACATATTCTTGTACATGTTCATTTCTGTCTTTTAAATTGAAAATTAAAAACTTTAAATGCTGCGCAGTAGTTTTCAGTAGTTCATGTAAAAATACTTGTACATAAAACCTGCACAAAAATTGTACAAGTATATTTTCTTATTCAGGATCTTGTACAAGTTCTGGTACAAGAACATGTCTCAATTCCGGATGCTGAACTTGTTCAAGAACATTACTTGAACATGTACAAGAAAATGTACAAGTTCATTAATGAACATGTACAAGAACTTGTACAAGTTTTTTCTACCGGGAACATTAAGATTAGTTTTGACCAAGATCTCCTCCCCCCTAAATTGGTAATATAATTTTCAAATGACTTCTTTCCATTACCTATATTGTAGTTTTCAATATATAAAAATATAACAGAATAAAAATAATTTCAATTTTTCTTTGATTAAAATATTTAATATACTTGAAACTAAAATAATGTAATCATAATTTTCTTTGACATTATCCAACATAGCATTAAATAACATTCAAAGCATTAATATTTCTCCCTATGTTTTATGTTATATATTGCCTTATTTCGTATATATAAAAAGAATATAAATTACTTTAAGAGTAGTATATTTGAAGCTTTAATAACAGTCTGCTTTTGTCATTCGTATAAGGTCGCTGTACAAAAAATGAAGTTAATAAGTCTCTTTATTGTGAGTTTTATTTTTTTGGTAGAAATCCTAGACATATCATCAACAAGTAATTATTTTGATGGATTGATAAAGTATTTAAAAGAAGAATCAAAGTTGCATCAGGTAGTGTTTATTTTTGAAGATAAAGAAGAAAATACTGATCCAATAATGAATTCTCTTATGACAACAGTCAATTCGCATTTTCCATCTTTGAGCATTAGTTACAGTCAACTATATAACAAAATTAAAAAGCCACACTTAAAGTTTCTTATGCGACCCAGACATCCCTATTGAAAAAAAACACGTATAATTGTACGTATAATAATACGTATTATTATACGTATAATTATACGTATTATTATATGTATAATTATACGTATAATTATACGTATTATTATACGTATAATTATACGTATTATTATACGTATAATTATACGTATAATAAGACATACGAATTTGAAACAAGAATTATACGTATAATTATACGTATAATAATACGTATAATTAATTATACGTATAATAATACGTATAATAATACGTATAATTATACGTATTATTATACGTATAATTATAATTCTATTAAAACTAGAATAATAGAATAGAATAGATTAATTAGTAGCAAAATTGCGCTGAAAATTTTTAGAAATTTTAAAATGCAAATTAAATTTCACGAAAAAAAATATCGTCGAATGTCAATTCAAGCAGTCACCCATCCAAGTACTAACCGCGTCCAACGTTGCTTAACTTCCGTGATCTGATGAGAACTTGTTCTTTCGCCTTGGTGTTTCCGCTGTCTTGTCTTGATTAATAACTTTGTCGTATAAGTATTGTACCGCACCTCACTTTTAGTGATACTTATACGACAAAGTTATTAATCAAGACAAGACAGTGGAAACACCAAGGCGAAGGAACAAGTTCTCATCAGATCACGGAAGTTAAGCAACGTTGGACGCGGTTAGTACTTGGATGGGTGACTGCTTGAATTGACATTCGACGATATTTTTTTTCGTGAAATTTAATTTGCATTTTAAAATTTCTAAAAATTTCCAGCGCAATTTTGTTACTAATTATTCTATTCTATTATTCTATTTTTAATAGAATTATAATTATACGTATAATAATACGTATAATTATACGTATTATTATACGTATAATTAATTATACGTATTATTATACGTATTATTATACGTATTATTATACGTATAATTATACGTATAATTCTTGTTTCAAATTCGTATGTCTTATTATACGTATAATTGTACGTATAATAATACGTATAATTATACGTATAATAATACGTATAATTATGCGTATAATTATACGTATAATAATACGTATAATTATACGTATTATTATACGTACAATTATACGTGTTTTTTTTCAATAGGGATACTACACTATTTATTTTACAGTGGATTAACGTAGAAACTCTACTTCACTTCCATAAATTATTTTATGCAAGGCAGAATTTATTACATTATTCATCAAAACCAAAATGTTTAGTTGTAAACTCTAAATTTTCAACTCATCATTATATCAAGAGAACTCTGCATTTATTTTGGAAAGAGAAATTTTTAGACATTACTTTATTGACGTATGATAGTGAGCGCAAAGTATCGATTAAACCAACTTTCGAAAAATTACCTATTATTAGTTACATAAATCCTTTTACCAATAACTATTCTGCTCAAGTGGTATCAGCTCAGAGTCAATGGTTTCCAAATAAATTGATGGATCTAAATAGATACAAATTAAACATACCCATTCAACCTGCTAAAGTTACATCTGTACAAGAATACAACAAGTTAATTAAATTGGTTAAAATTTTAGAACAAGAGATGAATTTTGAACCTATTATAATACCATGCCCAAATATGATTGATATACGCTCAACAAATATTCATGATATTGCGCTGGGATATGAATTGAATAGGAAACAACAGGTTACAGTAGATGCAGATATAATTTTCAGTGGCCAAAAAAATTGTATGTATATTAAATGGTTTAATGGTGAGAATATGCAAATTCTTGAGTTCATTAGTGCAAAAGTTATTATTCCACGAAATGCAAAAGTTGCCAATAAAATACAACTTTCATCAGAATTTTGGAACATGATTCTGACAACAATTGGAATAGTTGCAGTAATACGTATAACGGCATATTTATTTAAATTCAATTGGCAAACTTTAAATATCAGTCAAATTATAATTGGAATGGGTACTGGGAATGAACCCCAAAATTGGTCAGAAAGAATAATTTTTGGCTCACTCTTAATTGCATGCCTTGCCTATACAAGTTACTTCTTCACCATAATTTTGGATATCAGTTTTCGAACTGCTAATGAAATTTCAACAATCGATGAACTTCTTAAATTATATTTGCCAACAGTTATAAGTTACGATGCTTATGGAACACTTGCTTCCTTTGAGAATTCTAGTGTTCTACAATTTTTAAACAAAGAGTATCGTTATATAAATCACGAACTCAGAGTAGAAGCAAAATGTCTGAAATATTTGGCAGACCATCAGAATATAACTTGTATCATTCATGAAGCTATTAAACACATTAATACATATGAATCTAAGTACGGAAAAACAAATAAGTTTAAAGTATTGAAAGATGATCTTAAGTATGGCACGAATAGTTTCGAAGTAAAAGAATATTCACCATTTATCGAACGTTTTAATGAAATAATTCTAAGAGCTTCAGAATTTGGATTAATTAAAGATTTTTATGAACCTATTGTACGTCCACTAATTGATAATTTGGAACCTGAACTGATTACAAAAGAAAAACTCCTACCCATATTATTTGGTGTACTAATCACTGGATACTCTCTTTCGATAATTGTTTTTCTCCTCGAAATAATTACTGACAAGATAAGAAGAAAATTTTTCGACAAGCCAAGATTTCGATTTATACTCTAGGAAGATATCAGTGTTACTTTTTATCTGATAATATGAGAAAAAAACATCTTTTAGTGGGTAAGATAATTTTAATTTTTATACTATTAGAATATATCTATCCTATTGAAATATATTATTAAAAACATGTCAAATAATTTTTAAAAAATGATTTCCTTTTAATAAAGTAATCCGGTACAAAATTCATTACGTGAAAGTAATTACTTGCAGTTTTTTAATTCCTGCTTACTATTTACTTAAGAGTGTTGGAAGGTCTCTGAAATTCTTTGTCGGCCGTTTCGAATTTTGAAAGTGTTTCCAAATTTAAAATAGGGATTTTGATGTGGAGGATGAAAAAATAAAAAAGTTGATTTTATTTGCTCAAATTTTATTACTTGGTGGTTTTCATGATCGCTGATTACGAATCAGATGTCAATTTTTTAAAATTCAATATGACGTATAAAATATTGACAATTTTTTTTTTAATTTAGCCAATTCGTTTGAAATTCGTTACTCGATGGATTTTAGTGGCAATAATTACACATTTAATATCAGATTTGCAATAAAAATTCTACACTTAAAATCAGCATTCAAAAAATTGAAATGTCTGATTAAATTTATTTCTTTCAGATAAAGTCATCAATGAAATGGAGAATATACATTATCTACAGTTAACTTAACAATTATTGAAGAATATAAAAAATGGACATCCGCTTTATGATGAACTACCCCAAAGGGAAAAATATGAAATTCAAAGGAATTCCAAAACGTCTTTTGGATCATTTTTGAATCTTACATCTTGTTCAAATCAGATTAAAATATATTTGTATTAACTGCTATCGATTAATGTGATGTTAAAATTTTTATCGTATACTTATTGACCAAACTAAATTAATAGCAAACATTTACTACATTTACATTTATCAAAAATGACGTTCTATTGATAAAATTCAATTTTTTAATTCCTTTTGTTTTTTCCGCTATTGAAAAACTCCATATAGTATCCTATATAGGATCCGATAAAATTTTCCAGAAAAAAAACTATATAAAATCCTTTAATTTTATAGTAATTTTTATATGATCTCATATAAATTCGTATAGGATAGTGAAACAGGATTTAATGCAGAAATTGATATCCCTATTGAAAATCCCTGTATAAGATCTTGTACAAGAAAATGTACATGTTCACCAGCTGAACTTGTACCATTTCTGGTGCGGAAAATGTACATTTTATTGCACCAGAATTTGGAACAAGTTCTTTTATCAGATCTTGTACAAGATCTTGCACATGAAAAAATATATTTAATATTTGTATACAAGAAAATATACATTTCTTGTACATATTCTTATGCAGGTTTATGTACAAGTACTTACACATGAAACCGTTCATGTTCTTGTACAAGTTCATTTGAAAAAAAATTTGAGATTTTAATTTAGAATCATTAAAACTCTTTAATTATGTATGCTAAAAATTATTGCGCAGTTGTAAAGTTCTAAGAAAACTACTGCGCAGGCTTTAAAATTTTTTAATTTTACTAAACGAAGACATAAATGAAAATGTACAAGAAGATGTACCAAATCTGGTGCAAGAAAATGTACATGAACTTGCACAAGAATATGTACAAGAACACATACATTTTCTTGTATACAAATATTAAATAAATTTTCTTGTACAAAGATCTTGTGCAAGATCTTGTATAAGTTCTGATACAAGAAGTTGTTCCAAATTCTGGTGCTAGAAAATGTACAGTTTCCGCACCTGAACTGGTACAAGTTCAGCTGCTGAACATGTACCTTTTCTTATACAAGATCTGGTACAGGGATTTTTAATAGGGATAAGAGTTATCCATTTGATTCTGATCAATTTACATAGCGGTGTCAAGAAAAAATCAAAACTTTCAAAAAAAAAAAATGGTTTAATCTCCCTAGCGCACACAATATTCAACCCAGACAGTTCATATTTAGTATACAAATGTATTTTTTCGTGAAAAATGCAGAGAAAAAAGCGGTTACGATTGGAGTTGATGATTAACTTTTTATCAAAATTTTCAAGAAAAAATGTATTTTGACGAATTTTTACGTGTAGATTACAAAAAAAAATATAGCGAACCTAATTGGAATTGATTATCGTAACGTTGTTTGACATAAAGAGCTGAAGTTTGGTACACTTACGTATTTTTGCGTGAAAATTACAGGGAAAAAATGTAAGCACGATTGGAGTTCATGATCAATTTTTATTAAATTTTTAAAGAAAAATGATAATTTTAAGGAAAAATAGTATATTATGTGGCAAGCACGTAAAGTAGTACTTTTTAGGTGAGGATGTAATTTTCAGTACGAGCTGTCGTTAGTGCGACGTAGGTGAGACGAAGGCGAGCCAAGTCGAACCGAAGTCGCACAGACAGCGAGTATTGAAATCATCCGAACCTAAAAATTACTACGTGCAAGCCACATACGCTATTTTTTTCGCCACTGTTATGAAAAAGTGAAACAATTTTAAAGAAAAAAAATTTATTTTTTAAAAGAATTTATATATATATATATTTATATTTCTCGAGCCCACAACTTTTTAACAGTTGTTTAACCTCCATCACGCACATTTTAAAACACAGATGTCAAAACCATGTTAAGATTGACGGCAAGAACCGGTATAGTTTGCTTTACTAAACAGACAGTTACCATCACTACTACGTTTAGTACGATCGACTAAAAAACAATTGAACGCTGTTTAGTAACCATGACTCAATGTTTATTCGTCACAACTCAAATTTTTTTACTAAACGCGTAGAAGTACGGTGCACTATACCTCTTTTCTCCGTGTGTACGTAAGGGTTGCGTTGAAGACGAGAAAGCCCTAACATTCGATCAAATCTCTTTAGAACCCATCGCCGGTTTAACCGAATTACAAAAATCAACGAAAGAAGTCTTTTTCTTGTTTCTCAAGAACAACTTAACGTCGCTATCGACTTCATCGAATGACTCGCATTTCTTGGGATTGAAACTTCAGGAAATTCTTCCTGGCTTCTCTACGCCTATAAAGAGCTTCCTAACAGGATTGATCCCACCAGAGTGGTTTGGATTTTCTTAGCCCAGGTAATCCCAAAGGGTAATAGGCTCCCGCAATGACCAATTGATCTTTTATGTCAGTCAACAACTGATCATAGATCGTTTCCGGGGAATCCTCAACCTCATGTCTTTGCGACAGAATTTTCGCGCAAAAATTAATTCCAGAGGTAAATTTCGCCCAATCAACTTTATTAGTATTCAATCTCTTGACTGAGGCCTTTTGATATTTTGCGGAGACATTTGTAGAAGCAACAACCAAGAAGTGATCTGAAGCAGTGATGCCAGGCTGCACACCAATTCCACTCCCAACATGCCGCCCGTGCGCCTCCCTCCATATGGCCACACACACAAGTATAAACCGTGCGCTTACTCTTGTAGGTGTGCCTATTTTACGTTTTCCTCATATTCGCCAGCTTCAGCTGAGCGATTATGCCTGTTTTTACCGACAGCCGGTTAATTTCACGCGCGAACTTTTGAATTCTTTATAATGTAAATATACTTTTATTAATGTTTATATATATATATCTATTTATTAATAAATAATTAATAAATATACTATATATATACTATATTATAAATATATTACATATACATAATGTAATATATAAGTAGTACTGAAAAATAAAATTAATGGTGATAATAATTAATATTAAATTAATTATACCTACTTATAATCACTATAAGTAAAAAAAGATATTTTAAAAAAAAAAATTTATAGGCGCAACAATAAACTTGCTACGGACTAAGATCAACACCCCACCCCCGTGTCACTGATCAAGCCGATCGCAGCGATAAACAATTTGTAGAAACCTATTCTTTTTCTCCCTTTCTCAGGATTATTTAATCTGGATTAATAACTGTAGAAATTAATTATCCTTAGTATGACCAGTTGCATAAATCAGTAGTTTATTAGTCCTCCAACAAAGTTTATACGATTAATTTTGTTAAATCCTTCAAAACACCTAAAAAATTCAGTAAGAGGTAGTCTACAACCCAAAACCTCTTATAGTAAACAAAACAATAACACACAAAAATTATTTTAATCGATTTTATATTTCAGCAGTCAGACTCAAATTATGAAACACAGTGAAGACTAAAATATAGTTAGGGGTCTTGACAAGTTGAATTAAAATTTTATTTAACTTTTATATATATATATATATCTGTTCTTTTTTTATATTCGTTTGATCCATCTTCTGAACCCAATTAACGCCAAGAATTGTAACGACTTAAAACTAACAGAAAATAAAACTAATACATCACTTAGTAATTTAAGAAATTGAACTCTTCGAGGGGTTCATTTTGAAGAGAGATTCTCATTTATTGAGTTGATTAAATTTGAGCGAGACTGGTTGATATTTATAAGTGTATTTACAGCAGATATTTTCTCAGACAATTGACGCTGATTCAGCGCATTCGATATTTCTAAAACTGGATCAGGAATGGGATTATTTCCCTTATTAAGAATGTCAATAGCGTGTAGAAGATCTAGTTGGTTTGGCTGATGTCTCATTATGACAGATCGCAGGGATAGGGAGGTGTGTTTCCCCTCTAGTTCCGATGTTGTTTAATAAGTCAGGATTTTCTGCATAGAACAAAAGTTTGGCCTCCTCTTTATTGCAATTATGTATATAGCAATATTTTAAAATGTCAAATTCAAACTTAAATACAGGGCACTCCGATGAAAAGGCCACATGAGAATCCTTACAATTTTTACATCTAGATTGCAGGTGGCCATTCGGACAAAGATTTGTCAAATGCCTACCAGAACAAAATTCACATGTCGGGTAAGTCGAACGACATTGATTAGCCACATGGCAGTAACGCTGACAGCGGAAACATCTCCGTAGTCTCTGTAAGGAAGGAGTTATTGGAATGAAAAAAGCGACCAATACGATATTACGTGGAACGATAGGTGAATTGAGAGTATATAAATTCTACCTTTTCTCGAATAGTGCTCCCATCATCTATAATGCGGCGAATACTAGCTATATTATCCAAGTCCCCTTCTCGACATACCCTGACTATATTCCTAACCGATCTATTCGTAGGGAACCATTTAGTGAACCCCTTTTTTCTCAAAAAGGAATCTGGGATGAAGAGAACATAACCCGCCAATACCAGTTCTTTGGAGCCAACTAGAGCGTTAGCATCTTGCCATTTTTCGCAATTAATCTTTATCTGGTTTTTCCCATTGCGTGTTATTTGTTTTCCCCCCTCAATAATAGGAGATATTAGATCAATTACGCATAGGGGGTCTAATTTACCAATATTTTTGCCTCGAATGGTGCTCTCTATTAAAACAATAAATGGAGGAGGACTAGAAGCGGAGTAAAGTGGAGGAAGAATCCTATTATTCCATTCCAGATCGTGTTGATCCCAAATTACATCTTTGAACTGAGATTGTGTACTTGAATTTTCTGGACAATTGTCAGCAGGATGTAATTGCCGATCGGCCCGAAATTCGCGAAAAGAATTTTTATCAGGTAATAAAATTTTTCTAGAAATGTGGCCAAATGAGCCATCTGAAGAGCCTGTAGCCACTGATTCGTTATTCTGCCTAATTCAAATAACGACTTCTGAAATATTCAGGAAATATTTTGCAAAATGTCTATAAATTTTTGACACATGAAATCAATAGGTATTTTCTGAAATTTTTAACACCCTTAGGATTCTAGAAAACTAAAAACTACTGCGCAGTTGTACAGGCCATATAGTAACTAAGATCGACCAGTGCGCATCATTTAAGTTGAAAATTTCCAGAATATTTCAGTGAAATATTTCCTCATAAGCGGACATTTTCCTGTTTGCAGCAATATTTCAAGGACTTTGCACAGAAATATTCCAAAATTTCAGTGAAATATTTCAAAAATATTTTGGAAATATTATGTGCTGTGTGGGAAGTAAGCAAAAATAACCACAATAGAGAGAAATAATTTAGCCCTATTTTCACATCCAATACCAAGATATCAAATACTAATTAATAATCAAACTAATTAAGCAAAACTTTCAAAGCAAATCTTAATTTGATGATAAGCCCCAGAAATTAAAAGCATACAAAGACTTAATGATTAATATAATTACAAAAGACTGGCTACTTAATTTCCTTATTTATCCAGCATAAAGGACTAAAAGAAGGAAAAGCATATCCAAGCTTAACACGCTATCTTGGAGTCTCTAAAAACGTAATTTTCGGACAAAACAAACATAAAAAAAGTACTAGTGGATGGAAAATTTTCCAAAGAATCTATTGCCGTTAAAATTTTCAAGTTATTATTGGGAAACCATTTTTCATTTTTTTCAATAAAATTTAAAAGAAAAATAAATGTAAGTTATATTTTAGAGTATTAAAATTATGAGAATTTTTAAAAATATACATTTTTTATATTTGCTTTTTTATTTAATTTCTATTATCATTTATTATTATCATTTAGCAATTTGTTTGTTAATTCTCTGTAACAAATTGTCTTGAACAAAAATTAATCTTACTAAAAAGTAAGAAATGAAACATATTAGTGTAGATATCTTTTAGAAAAAATATAATTTTACAAAAAAATGTTAGTTGCAAAATATTTTTTCACGTTTAATAAATGTTAAAAATTTTAAAGCAGTAAAAAAAGATACGTGTAGAAAACTAAGTCCTTGAAACAAAATAGTGATTTGTCGACAACAGTTAAAATAGATATCATTTAACAACTTACAATATTAAAAAAATGTATAAAATTTTGCTTGATAAAGTCAAACATTGAAATATTTAATGATCCATCTAGCTTTCATTGCTTCACTTCTGCATTGAAGACAATTTCAAATAGTTCTTTTACATTACAAGTTGTCATTCACGGTGAGTAAAATTCTAAATAATAATTGGCATATTTGCACTTTTATTTTGTGTTAAAATTTTTTAAATGTTCCTATAATTTTTTAACGCTAATTATTTCATCAATAGATTTATTTTTTTGTTATTATAAGTGCCATTGCATGAAAGGGTATTTTCTTTCGTTAGCTTGTTTACTGGTCAAATAAAAATAATAAAAAATAATGTGCAGGATTTTTTAACTTTATTTATTTGATCTCTTCCAAATTGGTAAATTTGGAGAATTTAAAATTTTATCTACGGAAAATTTTAACGATCTTATTCGTTATTATTCTCGTACTAAGGAGCCTTGGCAAGCACCATGCGGAAAAAGGCCCCTTTTTTGTACCTCGAATTTTGAAACTTTCTTTATGCCAAATGGTAATATATGGTAACCCAATAATCCCTGGAAAATTTCAAGATGAGCATATGTCCCCTTTCGGAAATACAGGGGGTCAAAGGGGGCCATGTCAAAAAAAGAACATGGAATATTATCGAAAAATAATGTTAAAAAAAATCAGATAAAATGGTCACTTCAAGATTTTCGTCTGCTGATTACGAATTTGAAGTCTGTTTTCAAAAATTCGAAATGGCGGATCCAATATGGCGGACAACAATTTTAAAAATACATCCAATTTACTTGAAAATTGTTACTAAGGGGATTTTAGGGTTGCTGATTACGAATCTAAGGTCCGTTTTTAAAAATTTTAAATGTCGGAGGACAATTTTAAAAATCCATACAATTTTCTTGAAAATTGTTACTCAGGGATTTTTGGTGTCCCTTATTACGAATCTAAGGTCCGTTTTTAAAAATTCAAAATGGCGGATCCAATATGTCGGACGACAATTTTAAAAATCCATTTAGATTACTTGAAAATCGTTACTAAGGGGATTTCAGGGTCGCTGATTACGAATCCGGTATCAGTTTTAACCCCTTGACAGTCCAGGGCCCATATGTGGCCAGAAAAAGTCGTGCCACCTTTGTGCAAGTGGCCATATATGGCCACCACAAAAAAATAATACTAAATTTAATTTGATTCTCCTGAAATTTGTTACTCGGGGGTTTTTGGGGTCGCTGAATCCAAATTTAAAGTCAGATTTCAAAAAAACAAAATGGCGGACCCAAAATGGCGACCATGAAAACTTAAAATTTATCAGATTTACATGAAACTCGTTGCTCAGGGGTTTTCGGGGTCGCTAAATTTGAATCTGAGGTCGGTTTTTCAAAATTCAAAATGGCGGATCCAATATGGCAACCCAATATGGCGGATAATTTAAAAATTAATGCGTGTTGACCACAAATTGTTACTCGGGGGTTTTTGTAGTCGCTGAATTCGAATTTGAGGTCAGTTTTTCAAAATTCAAAATGTCGGATCCAATATGGCGGACAAATATGGCAGACAATTTGAAAATTGATGTGTTTCCACCGAAAATCGTTTTTTAGAGATTTTTGGAGTCGCTGAAATTGAATTTGATGTTAGTTTTTCAAAATTCAGTAAGGAAAATCCAAAATGGCGACCAAAATTTTAGAAATAAATAAAAATCTGATGCTAGACTTTTTTGAATTTAAAAAAAACGACCTCAAATTCGAATTCAGCGACCTCAAAAACCCCCAAGTAACAAATTTCAGGCAAATGGGATCAATTTTTTTAAAATTTGTCCGCCATATTGGATCCGCCATTTTGAATTTTAAAAAAACGACCCCAAATTCAAATTCAACGACCCCAAAAACCTCCGTGTAACAAATTTCAGGCAAAACGGTTTGATTTTTTAAAAATTTGTCCGCCATATTGGATCCGCCATTTTGAATTTTGAAAAACTGACGTCAAATTCGAATTCAGCGACCACAAAAACCTTAAATATGATGAAGTCATATTTTTTTGGAAACTTTTTTTTCGGACCGTTTTAGGCCCACCAGCGATTTTTAACTGGACTGCGAAGGGGTTAAAAAAATTAAAAATGACGGATCCAAAATGGCGGACGACTATTTTTTAAATTGATTTTAATTGACTTCAAAATTGTTAATTAGGGGTTTTCGAGGTCGGTGAACACAAATCTGAAGGTGAACTGATATTGAAAAGGACTAAACATTTTTTGTTAGTATTCTTTTTGATCCAACATATAAAACAAAAAGCAAATACCCAAGAAGCACGTAATATAACCTCAATATCAGTGTAATATTACATGTAAGATTCGTAATATAACGTTGTAATATTGCAGTAATCTTACAGTGATCTTAAAATGTCCGCCTCAAGGTAATATTACCGGTAATGTTACTGTAATATTACGCGCTAATATTAAGGTAATATTACAGTAATATTGCAGTAATATTAGCGCGTAATATTACAGTAACATTACAAGAGAATATTACAGTAATATTATGGGAACATTTCTTTATGAAAAAAATCTACCCATCTAGGGAATCGAACCCCGAATTCAAAGCACACGAGTCCAGAGTTTTACCGTTAATATCCGTTAATATTACAGCAATATTCCCGTTAATATTACCTTGAGGCGGACATTTTAAGATCACTGTAAGATTACTGTAATATTACAGCGTTATATTACGAATCTCACGTGTAATATTACCTTGACATTGAGGATTTGTTACGTGCTTCTTGGGTAGAAACATTCATAGCTTTAAAACATCATTTAAAAAAATATTATTTGAATGTGAGCTTAAGAATGTGATATAAGAAAACTAATTTTAGTTTTAAAAGTCTGAAATAATTATATGATTTCAGCTTACATTCGAAAACCTAAATACAAAAGACGATCAGTAGATCATCATTTTATTTATTTCTATTCCATTCTACATCTTATTTGCATTGTATGTTTGCAAATGTGATTAAGTAAACTTAATAGAAGTTTTAAAAGCCTGAAATTATTATTATTTTTGTCGATTACATTTTGCCTTTGATCGTTGGATTATTATCCCTTATTTTCGTTAATCTAGTTGTCGATTACATCTTGCCTTTGTTGGTTGGATTATTATCCATTACCTTTGTTGATTGGGTTGTCGATTACATATGGCCTACGTTGGTTGGATTATTCCATCTTACCTTTGTTGGTTGAATTATTACATCTTGCTTTCGCAAGCTGGATTTGGCATTACATCTAGCCTTTATTAGATATATAGGATACGCCATTTCGAATGTTTAAAAACGGAACTAAGATTCGTAATCAGCGATCCCAAAAACCCCTGAGTAACGATTTTCAAGTAAATTGGATGGATTTTTAAAATTGTCCGTGATTTCGAATTTTTAAAAACGGACCTTAGATTCGTAATAAGCGACCCCAAAAATCCCTGAGCAACGAGTTTTAAACGAATTCAGTCAATTTTTTATTTTCATGCCCGCCATTTTGAATTTTTAAAAACGGACTTTAGATTCGTAATCAGCGACCCAAAAAAACCCCCGAGTAACCATTTTCAAGTAAATTGGATGTATTTTTAAAATTGTTGTCGACCATATTGGATCCGCCATTTCGAATTTTTGAAAACGGACTTCAAATTCGTAATCAGCAGACAAAAATCTTGAAAGGAACCATTTCGCCTGATTTTTTTATATTATTTGATAATATTGCATGTTCTTTTTTTGACATGGCCCCTTTTGACCCCTTTTATTTCCGAAAGGGGGCGTATGCTCATCTTGTAATTTTGCAGGGATTATTGGGTCATCATATGTTACCATTTGGTCTAAAGAAAGTTTCAAAATTTGAGGTACGAGAAAGGGGCATTTTTTGCCGAGGCTCTTTGAATATAAAAAATTATGCTAACTTCACTCTATGACTGCCTTAGCGGATCGCAAACTATATAACACTTTTAAAAATTGTTTGTGTTTTGAGATAAAAGTATTTTAAAATCAGTGTTTATCATTTTCACGTTCAATGCCGATTTTATAGGGCGATAATTAAATGCTAATGAATTTTAGAAACCGACTCTCTTAATAGTTCATTTACTAAATTCAATAGCATTTTTCATCAATTTATATTCATTTTTGTCTTATCTGCACGGAAAGTGTATTATTTCGTGCACTTGAGGCGGTCGCAAAGTAAGTGATTCCCGCTCAGAGAGGTCTTCCATAAACCACGTGGCCCATTTATGGGGAGGGGGGGGGTGTCACTAAAATGCTACTCTTGACCACGAGATGGGAGGAAAGGGTTTCACTTCGAGACACGTGGCTTTGAGATTTTACATCTCTTTTCGAATTTACGTGGACTAATCGCGCTCATGAGCATTGATATGATATAATTATAAAATTTAAAAAACAGTCTTTTAAGCTTTATGAAATCTAATTTTTGGTATCCCTCTTTTTCACTATAGTAAGGTAATAGTTCCGGTTGTGGGCACCCTTTTGTTTATGGCTCATAACATTTAACCAAATGCATATTATGAGACTTGTGTGTAGCAGTGGCAATCTAGAGGCCTTAGGTAACTGTAAAAAAACTAAATTGATTCCTTCAATTGGAATGATTTTATTAAGAATTCACTGAAGTGATCACTTTTAGTGAAAAAAAGTAGTACTCGGTTGTGGGCACCCTAGGAGAATCCGCAAAAAAAAATGAAAAAAATGAAGTAAAACTACCATAATTGAAATGAAAATGATAATTGCTAAATAACACGGGATATTCCAATCACATTCCTGGAATATTGCATTAGAATATTACGAGTATTTTAAAATAATATTCCATTTACATTCCAGGAGCATAAAAATAACCACTTTTTGAAATATTCTTTTGAAATGTTGCAAGAATATTTGGATATTTCATAGAATTACTTCAGGAATATTTCTTTAAAATATTGTGGGAATATTCCATTGGAATATTTTGGGAATATTCAAATAAAAAATTATAAAAATATTATAATATGAATAATGCATCAATATTATTGAAAAAAATAAAAATTACATCATATTTTTCCAACTTACAAGAATATTCCAACATTAGAACATGAAATATAAATGACAATAATAATGACAAATAATTGT